GGCTACTGTCCTGCCTCACAGGGACACGCCCACTGCACCAGAGGAGCTCACACTCAGCACCATTGCAGAGCAAGGATAGATAAATGAATAAAAGCTGGAATACTGATCCACACAGGCAGAGAGAATAGCAAGCCAGGGCTGGAATGTAAGGGTATGGCACACATGTGGCAGTTATAAGTCTCATTGCCATTTCAAATTCATTGAGATCACTATTCTAGGCCTGCATTTTGTAAACCATGAGTGCAAGTATTTCTCACAGGAACATACAGTATGAACACAAAAGGGTTACAAATAACCTAGCAGGGGCTAGATGAGACAAATGGTCTCCACTTAACTTCGTATACAAGGACAACGCTATACTGAAGACTTCTGATCATAATAGTTCAGACCCTGTTTTTTCAGCACAGTGAGTAAAAAAGATGTTTTCATGTACAGATGCACTCCTAACAGCAAGCCTGTCATTCAGTTCAAATGCCTGTCTAATCAAAATTTGGTCACTAATTTGTTTGCTTAAATTTTCAGCCAAGTCCACTTTGAACCCAGCTGTTGCCAGATGTGTGATCCAGTGGGAATCCCAGAGTTCCACGCCAGAGTTGCGGCGCATAATTACAACTCCTGATGGGACAGCACTGGGAAGCCCCAAGTGTTTTCTTACCAGCGCCTATGATTTTTCTTCTAGTTTAGAGAGGAATCTTGACTCTGGCAAGTAAAGAGTGTGCATCCTGGCTGAGACTGCTTGCTTCATGGTTTGCAGGACCTGCTCTCGCTTAAGTAAGAGCAAAATACTGGGCACGTGATTGTGCGTGAAGCCATATGTTTGGATGAAAAGAGCACTGTAGTAATACTGTTTGGCAGGAATGCCTTGGCATGCTTGATGTTCAGGAACCACAAAGGACTGATTTAATTTGCAAGCTTAAAAAAAAAAGAGAAAAACTGCTGAGCAGACTCATTATTTCTGCAGACAGACAAGACGCCTCTCCAGGGCGAGTCGGGGTCCCAGCTGGGGGAGGGTTGTGGGGACAGGCAACCGTACCTGAGGTAGGAGGCATTGTGAAGGTTGGGGGGCGGCATCCTTGTCCTTGTCTGTAAGAGAGCAGAAAAGAGCATGTCAGCAACAGGAAGGACCTGCCAGGGCCACAAAGACAACAACAGATCTGACACCTGTTATCAGGATAACAGACAACAACACAGGAAACTACCTCAAAGGATCAGCCTGGTGCCTTGTGTTTTTTCCTGTCCATCGACAAGCTGCATGACTAAGGACTTGTTCCGCTTAAAGCTGAGATACCCACCTCCAGACCCTGTGATGGATACCAGGTTTTTATGGTTTCAAGTTAAAGACAGCTCTACACCTAGGACAAAGGCGAAACTGATCTGATCTTACCAGTTAGTCCTTCTCCGCAGGCTTACACAGTCAACAACGTAAAGAGGAAAACCTGCCGGATTCTGGACCCTGAGATCACAGAGGTCACAGCTGGGAATCCTGGGCTTCAAGCATCCTCTGCACGCTAATGCCTTAAGCCAGAGGTGTCCAGTCCTGGTCTTGGGGATCCTTGTGTGCGCATGTTTTCCTGGTCTCTTTAAAGCAGCAGCACCTGAAGAGCTGGGAAAAGCTGCTAAACTGGTCCAGTTAAGGCATTAAGCAGCTGCTTTATATCATTATGAGCTGAATCAGAAGGAAAACCTGTCCACACACACTGGCCTTCCAGGACCGGAACTGCACAGCCTTGCCTTAAGCAGCTGCAAGATTACTGACTCAGCCACCCAGATAATGCTCACTCCTGAGCTCAGGCTCTGAGTGGGCACTGATCAGAATAGCTCTAGAGCTGAGCCAGGCAGGGATGCTTGTACCAGAATCCAGATCTTCAGGCAGGCTCAGCAGGAGGAGGTGGGGTATCATGCTAAGAGCTAAGAAATATATGCACTATAGGCAGTGATAGTGCCGGGGCTTAAGAAGAAGGAACTGCTTCAGGAGACCACTGGACAGCCCATCCAGGGCTCATTCTGAGCTGGTGATGGAAAGTCTTCCCCCAAGGCATCTGGTTTGCTCAAGAGCCAATGGCATAAGAAATGCAAAAGATAAGGGAGTGTGCTGTACTCAATGCATTTTCTGCCCTGCTTCGAAACCGCTGATGTCAGACAAACTCTCAGTAGCCACTGCCCATCTCCAGAAAGAAGCATTTTTAAGACATGGCCCAGCACGAACGCAAAAATGACGAACGCTGGGCGGGGAAAACTAAGAAGTTGATACCTAAGGAAGCACTAATTTTTTTTTCCAGGAGAGGCTGGTAGGAAGGGGTGGCTGACAAGACCTTCAGAAGTACCAGCAGTGAAAAAATGAGAGCTGGTAAGAAAATATTCCCTTCAAGCTCCGCTTTTTTGAAAGCAACCCAGCAGAACCGCCGTTTAAAACCTTGCAGCTGCAGCCCTGTGGTTTATTAATCTGTATGCCAGGGACCTGTTTATCTGCAAGGCTCATTCACTGGAGCGCTGATTTGTCAAATCAATGTTTAATGAATGCATTTATAATGCATACAGGCGCATCAGGCAGGAGGGGCAGGACTGCAGATTGACGGGGTCACAGGGCTCAAGAACAGAAACGAGAAACTGGAGCAGGTTGGGCAGCTCAAAGGAGGCCTTTTTGCAGTTCCTTTAGCTTGTTATTAAGGAAAAAAGGTGAAAAGACACCCTGTGACTGGCACAGGCCCACTGTGAAAACAATCGTTTAATATGTTAAAAAGATATAAGATATATAAGGTCACTTTATTACCCAGATACAATTTCTTGAATCAGGAATTTGTCTTTTCACATACCCCAACTTGCTCTCCATGAGACACACAGACAGGGAGAGAGAAGCCTGGGGTCAGAGCGCAGGGTCAGACATTTATACGGTGCCCCTGGAGAAGTTGGGGTTAAGGGCCTTGCTCAGGGGCCCAAAGGAGAAGGATTCCTCTGCCGGCTGCGGTACTCGAACCAGCAACCTTCCAGCCACAAGCGCTGATCCTTAGCCACAGAGCTCTGGTAAATGCTGTGGCAGCTGAGCCAAAACAAAACCAAAATGCTAAACCCACCAACAGAACACAAACAATCTGTATAAAGAAAGACCAGAAAGCCTCACATTCAGGAGTTCATGACCCTCCTCTACAATAACTCATGTACAGCGCCTAATCCCTTTAAGCGAAGAATGACTCAAAGGATCAGAAAGAAACCGCGGGAATAAGCTTGTAGGGTAAGAAACAGCCCTCTGGTATCTGGCTGCACATCAGACTGAGCACAGTGTTAGTGCTGTCAGGGCTCCATCGTAGGCACTTCTAACCAAGTGTTGGAGAAAAAGACAACATTGCAGGGTAACACATCTGGCCTGTGCGAGCGCAGCTCAGTTAGGCACTCACAGTTACAGACACTTCAGAACTTCTTTTGTGAGTGTCACGGGGCTTCCAGTACAAAATGAAGTGGCGACTCCCCTCCCACTACAACATAAGCAGGGTTCATCTCTATTATATTTTCAATCGGTCTTGGATTGGTGAAAACCGCACAATACCACTGTGCAATACCAGCCTTCCGATGGCCGTGCCTGGGCAAATCGAGGATGCAGTGCTGGCCGTTTGCTGCCACCCCCCCTGCCGACTGCATGCTGTACCTGCACTTTCAAAAACAGCCATTGGAAGACGGCGGCTCTGAACTGGCTAATCCTGTCTCTTCTGAGACTCACAGGTGCCACAGCCCATTCTGGCCCACTGTCCCTCCTCCATGGCTAAACGGATTAGGCGTCTCCCCCCCGAGCTCTGCTACCACAGGGATGTGTCGCACTGCTCATTCCTCCTGCTTCTGAATCCGTACACCCACAAGAGATGGTCTGCATCTTTGGAAATTACAGTCATGCTCTGCCAGGAGGTCGTCTTGGCCGTGGACGGCAGTGAGCATCCGCTGTCTCTGCCTATGTGCACAATCACGCCATGCCAGCACAGCGATGCTACCCTCTGCCACCAAACAACTTGGGCCATCTTTGGCTGGACAAAGCAAGCCCTTCCAAACCTTCCTGCCTCGCAGCGCAGGCTCGTGTTTCCCCATGTTCAAAGCGCTGCCCGCTGGGGCTGCAGGTTGGATCTGCCGTACCTGTGCGGAGTGGAGGCTCTTGTCCAGGGGGGATCTTGGTTTTCGCCGACAGCAGCAGCTCATAGGGGTGGTCCTCCTCCCCCTCCCTGTCAGCAATCCGGCTGTTGACGTACAGCCCCTAGAAGACAGCAACAGAATGATGTCACAGCGCCGCCACCTGGCCACGCAGCAAAACATCTCCGAAAGCAGCTGCATGAGCAGACTGGCTGATGTCGCCCCAAAAATGTGCACTAGAACACAAGCCTGGGACAGCTGCAGCACACTTGCAGATAAAGCGGTATTAGAGGTGAACATTTCACTTAAGCCAATGCATCCAAGGTGTAATATTAATGTATGACAAGCAACCACATGATTCATGTGTCACAAGGTTGTTGTTTTTTTGTAGAGACTAATGATTTTAATTCACTTACAAAATCAAGAGGACATGTACAGGAAAATCCATGAAATGCAAAACTGGAATCAGGGGCTTTAACAGCAAGGGGCTGAGGGAGTCTGGAGCAAGCTACCCATGGTGTTGAAGCCGATACTCGGGCTTCTTTCAAGAAACAGCATCTCTTTGCTACTCGTAACAGAGCATGACAGACGCGCTGAATGGCATCTTCTCACTTGCAACCCTACTCGTGTTCTTAATTACATTTGGCTAGACCTTCAAAACAAATTAAAGCTGGGCCACGTTTTAATTCAACACTGGCCTTGAAGACTATCGGCAAGGTAAAAATCAAGCTTGGTACAAATCCTGTTTTTATTTAGGTGGGGTTAAGTTTGGCATTTCCTCCCCTTATCGTTGTCTAGATCTTCGCCTGGTTTAGAAATGCCAAAACACTGAATCTGACCGACTGCAGTTGCTATATAACGTGGGATATTCCCAATACACTTCTGCTCTGCCTCACTGTGACACATCGGGTTGAAAAGAAATTGGAGAGGGAGTCTGAATAAATACAGTTCCCTTTAATCCCCAAGGCCTGCACTTTCATAACGTCAGTGTGGCTCGAAATCAAGTCTTGCTAGCTTGCCTGCATACTAGGATAGCCTCTGCGACTCAATGCATGAATATGTATAAGAAAGAACTGACGCTCTGAGACGACAGGGAGAGGAGGGGTCGGTTTTGTAGTTTGTTCTTGCAGTGTATTGACATGCAGCGGTACAAGTGCTTTCAATTATGGCCCTGTCTCGGTTGGTTAGCCGAGCCATCTGGGAGAATTGGGAGATAGGGAGCTGGGTCTCCTATGTGCTGTAGACTTGTGCTGGAGACAAGTCTACAGCACATCAAATAAGCTGCCATCTTTGAGCCGGGACCAAATACGCATACTTATAGGCCTACGTTACTCCTGCTTTCTTCAAGAGTTACATAGTAGAGAAGCCAGGTGCTATTAGAGTCATTAATTGATTGAACCTGTTAGTCCAAACCTTCCCTGGAGACTGACACTGCATCTTCAGTGGTGACGGGGGGCTCTCTTTACTGACAAGACACAGGCGTGCTCACAGATAGAACTGTAATTGTATGCACTGCAAAGGGACCACAGCCTGAAGCTGGCTGCCAGCTTCAAAATCTAACAAGTTTTTAGATGAATTTCATGGCTCATTTTGTGAAACTGCATGGCCAACCGAAACTCTGAAGGGATCTCACTTGAAAAAGATCCAGCTGCATCTGACTGTCTTTTGTGGTTCTTTGAAAACAAAAATCAAAGATATCTCTTGACAGCGTCTTTAAAAAAACATGAAAATCATAATAAAACCCCCAAACAGTGGCATTCTTCAGTTCTCCCACAATATGTATCCTTCATTTCCCTAGATCTGAACCAGCTGCACAAATGTTTGTGGCCTGTACGATACACACAAGGCCATACAGTGATGTGAAAAAGAAAGTACACCCCCTTACAAGTCTGTTTTCACATATTAAGACATATCTGACCTTCATCTCTGTTTTTTGAATAATGACATAATAAAATTTGTGTTCGTTATTTGACAAATTAAGTTAAATTAATCTACTGTTATGACTTGGTGAGGACTAAGTGAAGTCAGATTTGTGTTAATATGTAGAACCACAGATTTTTAAGATGTTGTTTTCCACATCACTGTACATCGCTGTTCGTGTGCTGTGTAATGCACACTAGGCAGAGTATCAAAGTGTTTGTGCCAGCTCTCTTTTGAGCTTGGTGTTCAACTGCAATCAGATTTTGTCAAAGCTGATCTTTCGATCCAGCAGTGCTCTGTAAAAATGAATATTTAGCTCCATACATTGGTTCTTTATGCATTTCTACTCGGTTAAAGTCAGACATGAAGGCT